AATGCAGACCCAGACTCAGACCTACTGAGTCAGGATCTGCATCTTATCACACCGCCCAGGTGAGTCTGTGCTCCTCGAAGTGTGAGAGGCCCTGCGCTGTGCCCTGTGGTTTTCCGGCCAGTGGTGGCCCATGTCCCTAGGATACAAGGTCCAGGAGGGCAGGGGCTTTTTCTGATTTGGTTCTGAGTGCCATGGATAAAGTAGGAGTTCAACAAACTCCTGGTGACTGAGTAGGGAGGAGAACTCAGCCTCCAGGCATCTGAACAGGCCTCTTTCCCCCGCCAGGCCGTGGAGCCAGGCCCCTGACCGCTGAGTGAGGCCGGCGTCCAGGTGGTGCCAGGAGTCCTGGCTTGCCGCCCATTGAGTGCCTGTTCCCAAGGCCCCGACCTTCTCTCCTCTTCACGGTCTCCGGGAAGGGCGTTTAGATCCTGATACCCTATGGACGCCCCTCCTGGAGGGAGAGCAGCCTGAAGCTCCTTGGGTGCCCTGGGGATGCCCGCTTTGAACCTTTCGTGGAAATGAATTAGTTGGAAACCATTTTGGTGCCCTCACTTACGAAACCCACAGCTGTCCGGAGCGAGAGAAGGGAAGGGGCCTGAGTAGTTGGAGGAGGTGAGGGAAGGGCGCCGCCTGGGTCCGTCTGCCTGGGAAGACGTCAAAGTTGCCGGGCAGAGGGGTGGAAAGGGTGGGGCGGCCGGTGCTATGGGGCTGGAATTTCTCAGACCGTATGTCCCAGGAGGATGGTGGCTTCTGTCTGCCAGGGAGGCCGGCTCAGGCAGTGGAGGTTTCTGGAAGGGTGGGAGAAGGTCCCAGAGAGAGCCCCCTGTGAGGGGAGCCCCCCGGGTCAGAGGTTCGGAGCACACCTTTTCCCCCAGTGAATGCTCTCTCGTGGTCAGGGGGAGTCTGGGTGGGCTTGGGGTGGGGCTGAGCCGTAAGGGCTTAAGCAAGACGCTGGGTCGGCAGGTGCTTGCATCTTGGGGGTGACAGCCATGTGCAGACAGAAAGAAACGCAATGCTATTTTCATTAAGGAATTTATTTCTCTTAAAAAACACCACCAGTGGTTCCATCTAGATACAGCAGCACAGTGACCTATTAGACGGAACGTACACAGATTCAGAGCAGCAGAACAAAAGCCGTTATCTTCAGGAAGAACCTCCAAAATGGAACTATTTTCTTTCATCATCAATGTGAAAATTTCCCTGAAAAAAAAAAACAAAAACAAAAACACAAAACAGAACCCCTTGGATACTAGAAGGATTATTATTTTAACTCTACCAACAGCCACTAAGCTCTTCGACTTGAGAACATTTGCTTTTGATCTATTACAAAAATGATTTATTGACGGACTGGAGAAAGACATCTAGATTCTTCTTTTAGGGAGCGTCTTCCCATCCCCGGGAGAGCTGGCTTTTCAAGTGTTTTAACCACTGTCCCCAGCACGAGACCAGCGGAGAGCCCGGGCCGCACACTCTGGCCTTCCAAAGGCAACGAGGGAGGCGCCTCAGGGGACGGGGCTGCCCTGTCCTGGTCCCTTGTGACGGAAGGAAGTGAGCCCTCTGCTGGTCGCGACTCAGCTCTGTTGCTTCGGCATGCACGGCGAGGTCACACTCGTTCTCCTTCCGAAGAGAGGCTGTAAAGTTAGGAGGTCCTGTCTCAGAGGGTGAGGCTAGGAGGACAGCACACCACGCAAGAGGTTGTCCTCGGAAGGTGCAGGTGCTCACGCGGACGTGGGAGCATGCCGCGGCCCAAGAGGAGGGCTGACATCTCCCAGGTGGCACTTCCTCTTCATCTGCGGGCGGGGGGGATGTCCGCGAGGCCGCCGGTCCCTTTGGCCAGGCCCGGGATGCCAGGTGCAAGGAGGTCGCAGTGTTCCCTCCGAAGTCATGTCTGTGTCGGGGGCTCACTTGGGAGAGTCGGTGGGAAGCCGATGCCCCAAGCTTTTCAGGGAAGGATGGGGTGTGGAAGAGTGACGAGGAGCTTCGACAGTGGGCAGGGCTCCTTGGGAGGTGTGGAGACCCCGGCTGCTCTGGGGCATGCCCTCCGCGTCGTCAGGGCTCGCCGGGCTCCCGGGCGGCTGGGCCACATCCTGTTGTGCCTTTGATGCCAAGGTGGCGTCCACACGTGTCCCCAGCACTCACCACCATGTGTCGTGGCAGGCTACCTGTCGAGCGTGCGTAAAACCCGGGCACGCTGCTCTCCACACGGCTTGCCCCTCCAAGACTGAGGGTTTGCTAAGAGCAGCGTATTTCGGGGAACACGCCCTTCTGGGGCCACTGGAAACACAGCAACACCTAGCAGCTGTGCAAGTGAGCAGCCTTCGGAAGCGGGCGGTTTCAAAAGTGACGTTCCCAGCCTAGAAAGAGTCGGGACTGAGTGATATGGGATGGGGTGGCGCTCCCCGTGAAGGCAGGGCGCAGGCCTTGGTGCTGTTGTGGGTGGTCTTATGGGAGCCCCACCCCACCCCCGAGGGGGCTTGATAAACCTTTGTCAGCCGTGGTGCTCATGGCAGAGATCACCCCGGTCCCACTGGGGACAGCGGCTTGTCTCCTGAAAAGTGGAAGCAGAGATGTTTCTGCAGGACCCTGCGTCTCACCTCAAAGGCACAAGGTCAGCGAACGTCCAATGAGGAAAACGTCACGCTTGGAGAAAGAGAGGCCCTTCTGTGAAGAGCTCAAATGTTGGGGGGGGAAAAAAAAATCCATTCACTGCCCGAACGTACCTCATCCCAGGCAAGGGGATGTGTGTGTGGGGGGGGGAGGTGGGGTTTGTTTTGTTTTGTTTTTCCTAATTTAAAAATATCTTTTAAAAATGCAGTTCTAGAAAACAAGTTGGAGGAGAAGCTGGGGGTGGGGCAGGACCTTCAGTGACTCGGGGCCTGGGGCACTTGGTGGGCAGGTGTGCTGATTTTCAGATGTTGTTTTAAATAATGACTTCCCTTCTCTTGCAGGAAACGAAGTGTCCAAAGGAACAGGAGAGAAGAGAGGCAGTGGCTCCGGCATCCCATCCTAGGGGCACTCGGTGGGGACAGGCTGCCAACACGAAGGAAGACCCCAGTCATCTTAAGAGGCCCACAGAGGCCCGGGCGTTAGCCTCGTTGGAGCTCCCGGGATGCAGAAACACACGGGCCAGGTGGGTGTTTTCCTTCCTGCTCCTTGAGGATTCTGTACTGCGGTCGGCCAGTGTGGGGCTCGGAGGCATGAAAAGAGATGGCTTCTCAACACCAGTCATTCGGTAAGCGGGGAGTTGCTGTGAATTGGGCAAAAGGAAGGAGGGAGGGTGGGAGCTTGGGCTGGTGACTGTCCCAGAAAAATGACTGTCCTTTCCATCGAGAAAGGAGGGTCAGCGAGAGCTTGAGGATCTTAAAATACTGGTCAAGGAGCTTTCCACTTCCGTTCTTGGCAAGAACGGAGTATGGCCGTTTGTATTTATCTGGTACGCAGCCCAGGAAAGGTGCCAGAAGCAGCCTCGTGAGGCCAGGGCTGGTCTTGAAGAAAATGATACTGCACGTTGGAGGGATCCCAGGGCGGCCCAACTGTTGTTTCTCTGCTATTTGTTTCTCAAGTGACCTACGACGATCAGTCCCAAAGGCCGCCCCTTCTCCGGCAGTGCGCTCCAGGACCCACTGGCCCAGTCTGAGGGAGGAGCACGGACACTGGACAGGAGGCGGCCATGCCCGCTACGCGCTCCTCCCTCAAAGCTCGCGCTCCAAGCTGCCCGGCTCACAGAAATCGTTTTGGGAGAGTTGCGTCTGAAGCCCCACTGAAGCTAAGGCAGCAGAGCCCTTTCCTGAGGGTATGTTAGAATGTTCTGGAGAGCTTCTTAAAGATGCAGATTCCTGGGCCCTACTCCCAGAGAATCCGTTCCATAGATTTGGGGTGGGGCCCAGGAATCTGCATTTTGACCGGAGCCGCCTGTAGGTAGCGCTGGACCCACACTGGGGGGAACCCTGGCAACCGCCAGGTGGCTGACACCGGGTCTGAATGAGGCTGACTCGGTCGCCAGGGACTCAGCCAGGCAGGGCAGCGGGGGTGTCAACCACTCCCCCTGTTCTGGGGCAGGGGGGAGGCGAGGGTGGATTTGCTCCTTGTCACTTTTCAGAGGCAACAGGAGGTGGCCAGGGGCTCAAAGGGCCTGGGGACTGCCCTCGGAAGACCCTGGCCTGGCAAAGCCACCGAGTCCTCCTGGGGGCGACTTGTGCCTGAAGGTTTGAGATGCTCCGTTAGAGCATCTTAGTCCCACCTCTCCCAAGAAGTGACCGTGAGTTTGTCTTGAGCTTCCGTGGTATCCTGGCCCTCCCCTTAGCCATGCCATTGCTTGGAGAGCCGACCCCACCCATGCCCCCCGGGCTAGGGTATCTGTGGGGCCTTGTGACGCTCTCTCCAGACCCTGTGACCCCGTAAACACTTGAGGAACGTGCCTGGAGTCCCTGGGCAAGCCTCCCTCCCCCTCTATGGACTCATTCGGTAGGACTCCACTGACCCCCACTCCCTGATGCTTCCTCAGGCCACAGGATTTGGGATAGCTGGGGCTCCATGACTACTCATCATCACGATGCATCCCTTAAAAAATAGAGTAAAACAAAAATCCCCAAATGCAAGCCTCTTGAAAACATACAGGCTTTAGCAGTTAGAACCTGCTTAGAAAGAAAGAGGCCCAGCTCTGCGTACCGGCCGCCTTCCAGAAGGAAGAGGAGGCCAAGGCCAGAGCAACACGGACACCGTGTGCCTCTAAAGGAAATGTGCGCATTGGCCCTAGGAGACTCCAGAGACCCCCACGGAGGATGTTCTGACTGGGGCTGAAGTCCCAAGTGTGTCTGGAGCGCTTAATTCAGGCTGTTACAGGCCAACAGCATGGTGACATCAATGTGTGAGGGAAAGGTTAGAGAGATGGATACAACCAATCCTTTAAAGGTGAAATGTGAATCATTTTCTACATTTAATAAAAACATTTTCTCATTTGAGGCTCCGGAAGTCTTGAGTCACATTTTTTTTTTTTTTTTGTAAATCCCCCCCCACCCCGCCCACTCTAAAATGCCTTAAAACACATGGCTTAACAGTGGCTGCACAGAAAATATACACCCTCAAAATCTGACTTTCATTTAAATACAAATATACAAAATGTAAACTGAGACAATAGAGAAATTTACAAAACTTTTCTTTAAAAATAATAAAGACAAAATTCAGTTCTAGGTATGACGCTATTAAAATACGTGCAAGTTGTCGTATCCAATTGGATTTCTATTGCAATGTTCCACGTCGGCTTGAGGGCCACCTCTGGAGACAGACCTGAGTGGAAATCTCTTTGAGAAACCTGGAGGCTCTGTGTCAAGGAGGCAGCCGGCCTCCTTCCCGGCTCCTGGAGGGCTCCCCCGTCCACAAGTTCTGCTGCTAAGGACAAGGGTCTAGGCTGGTCCCACCGCGGACTTCAAGGCCAGAGCTCCAACTAGCTGCTTCCGGTGGAGTTTGAACTGACATGGTTTGAATTTATGTGGTGGTTAAAACTGGTCTTGGGATTGGGTGAACTCTTGGAATTGTTCTGATGCTGGAGGAGAGAGAGAGAGGGGTGGGGGGAGACAGAGTTAGTCCTGGTGGACGTGTAGGGGCCTCTGAATCTGAAAACAGGGCCATGGTCAGGGGCTGCTGATCAGCTCCTCTTGCTTTCTGCTGCCTGTGCCCTTCTTCCGCTACAGACCCAGGGCCAGAGGCCACCCCTTGGGGCAGGGGCAGAGCTGTGGGATTAAGAGGACCCCAAGGCAGGGGCGCCCGGGTGGCTCAGATGGTTAAGCGTCTGCCTTCAGCTCAGGGCATGATCCCGGGGTCCTGGGATCGAGCCCCGCATCGGGCTCCCTGCTCCGTGGGAGCCTGCTTCTCCCTCTGCCTCTCTCTCTCTCTCTGTCTTTCATGAATAAATAAAATCTTTAAAAAAAAAAAAAAAAAAAGAGGACCCCAAGGCAGGGGGGAGGCAGCCCCTCCTAGAATATCTATATGGTTCATTCCTGTAGGCCCAGGGTCTGAAACCTGTCGCTTAGCTTGAGCAAGTTATTGAATCTCTTGGTTGCCTTGCGTGCCAGGTAGGACAAGGGCTGCTTCTGTACCGGGCTGGTGGAGCGGGAAGTGAGGCTGTGTGTAGAGAGGGCTTGAGTGAGTGCCCGGCCCCAGAACCAGGAACTGCTTATTCTTACTGATCTGTCACTCAGTCCTCTTGCTGGCCCTGGGCACTGATCTTGCAGGAGGGCCCCCAGAGGCTGGGACAGGTCAGTACGGTGCCACCCAAGCAGCAGAAAGTGTCAGGGCCAGATGTGAACCCCAGGTCTGTAAGCCTCTGTAGCAAGTGCTTGTCCCAGGACCTAAGTACGTGCTAGGGACTCAGCCATGTGGAAGGGGACAGGTCCTTTCTTTGGGGAGCTTCAATTTTACTTGGTGGAAGCATTTTAAAATTATCTTTTTATAACTGGATACAAACAGAAGTCTATTTTGGAACAGGATGTGAAACTCACATGAAGCTTCCAGATCAAAGCCCGAACTTGCCCTCAGTCTGTGTTTTCTCTCCATGTGCCTGATCCATGCTCCCTGCCGTTATCCCCAGATCCTTCGTATGGGTTTACCAGCCGTGTGACCTTTGTGACCTTGACCCTCCCTCAGCCTCAGTTTCCTTATCTGTGAAGTGGGGTAATGGGAGCACATCCTGGGCTCACACTGCACTAGGACCCCCCCAAAAGGAGGGATCCTGGTTTGCCTTGCTGGTGCATCTCAAACCCTGAGGAAACAGCCTTGCACACAGTAGGCACTCGCTACATACTGGCCGAATGACTGAACGGTTGAATTAAGGCCCAGGCTTTTGTGGAGATTAAGTAAGAGAAGCCCTCAAAAAGCACTCGGTGCAGAGCTAGGTCCAAAGCAGAGCGCCATCAACAGCCACCCCATCCTGTAATCAGGGTGGGGGTGGGGGAGCTGGGAGACCTGGGGACCAGAGCCGCTCCGCCTCTCCCTCTTCATCCTCCTGGGGAGAGGGGCAGCTCCTTAGGGGTGGGGTGGGGTGGGGTGGGGGGGTGGAGGGAATGTAAATAATGGGGCCTCCCAGGCTGTGGGATGGACACACTGGGCCAAGCCTTCTTCGAGGGAGGCCAGGAGGGGGCGCTCTTCTGGCCGCCTTGGGCAAGGGGGATGAGGTGAGGGCCTCGGTGGTCTCTCACAGGCCTGCAGGGACATTTCTTCCATTTGGGCCACGCCGAACGCTCAATCCAGGGACAGGCTCTGAGGAAGAATGCCTTTTCCCAAGGGGCAAAGTCTCCTGAGGCTGCCAGCTGGAGGCCACAGCATCCACCTTGGGGGGCCCTGGCAACCCAGGAGCCACGAGGGTCTGCAGGGCTCCTCTCTCCCACACCCGTTCTGCCTGCTTTTTGTTACGTGCGATCGCTACCTACAGAACTTGAGTCTTGACAAGGGCCATATGGGGCAGTTAGTTCTCTGTCGGGGACACTTCGCCTCCAGAGGACAAGGGGCCAGGTCTGGAGACATTTCCGATCGGTAGTGTGGGAGGGCCGTGCTACTGGTGCCTGCTGGGTAGAGGCCACGGAGGCGGCTAAGTATCCTCCAGTGCACGAGACAGCCCCCACGACGGAGAACTCACCGCGAACGTCCACAGGGGTGAGGCCGAGAACCCCTGATGAAGGGCGAGCTCCGGGCCGGCCCTGCCCGATTCCGCCCTGCGGATCCCCTCATGTGGCGGGCACAGGGGCTCGGGCAGGCCGCCGCGGCCCCTGCTCTCCCACGCCCCACACACGCAGGGAGAAGGCCGCGGCTCCGGTCTCGGGGAAGTACCTGGGCCCAGGGCATCCCGGGGCCAACGCCAGGACAGCTGGGCACAGAGGGCGCGTCTCTCACCTGACGCTTGAAGATCCTCTGAAGCAGCCCTTTCTTCGGCGGTTCTGGAGGGTGACTTCTGTTCAGGTCCGGTGAGAGGGTACCGTTAGGTCCGAACACGTTCAGCTCCTTAAAGCACTCGGTTTCTATCATCTGGAGAAGCAGGGCGAAGGCGGCATGAGGGGCTGTGTTAGTCATCTTGGCTGGACAGGAGTCCCTGCGGCCCCCACCCTGCCCTGAGCCTGCTCCCAGTAGGTCCTCCACCCGCCCTGCCTCCTTCAGGGGCCCAGGCCCAGACCGCTCCCCGCCTGCCACGGCCTCTCCCCTGCCAGCCTCCCCCAGCTGCCTCCACTGAGGAAGCAGAAACCGTCCGCGGGGGTGTGCTCATCGTCCAGCCGCCAAACCCACACCTCCTCTTCCTCCTCACCCCACCCAAGCCCAGGTCGCCGCACATGCTCTGCGCCCCTCCCCTTGTCAGGGTCCCCTCCCCGGCCCCATCGTGCGGAAGCAGCGCGGGCTTCCCCCAGCTCGGGCCCGTGTTCCTCCTCTCTCCCAGCCAGACTTCCCGAGACAGTCCGCTAGACGACCGTGTCCATCCCGCCTCCTATCCCTCTTCTGACCCCCACGCCGACGGCCGACGGAGCCCGGGCCTGTCCCCCCCGGCCCAGTGGCCCCCTTCAGGGTGCAGACGGCCACCGCCCTGCTCACCTCGCTCTGCCACGGGATGGGCACGGAGCCCGTGGAGAACTTGGAGTAGAAGTCATCGTCTGTGTGGTCCAGGTTGACGCCTTTCACGGTGGAGAACTGCTCGATGTCCAGCACGTCCTTGCAGTACACGGCGCGGGGCTGTGGGCAGAGCGCTCGGTCACATGGGCCCTGTCCCAGGCCGGCACCCCAGCCGCAGGTTCTGATGGGGAGCGGGCGGGGCGCCCTTCTGGGGACCGGTGCTGCTCTCTCTCACAGATCTGCCCAGGGGCTCCTTCCCGCCATCACCTTTATGCCGGCTGCTGGTCACCCCTCTCTCCAGGCTGGGGCCGCGGTGGGGTGACGGAACACGCCCTCTCTGACTCACATTCCTCGGCACCTCTGGGGATCCCCGCTCCCCCAGAGCCCACAGGATCAGGATGGCGGGAGCGTTTCTAGACACCTCTGTGGGAATGAGGGCGGCCACAGCTGGGGCCTCCGGCCCATCCTCCACAGAGAGAAGGAATGCTGGGGGCCCAGGGGGGCCCTCTCACACCACTGGGCACCCAAGCTCTGCAGCCCGACAGGCCTGGGCTGGGCTCCCAGCTGTGGCGCTTAGGAACTCTGGGGAAGTCACATACCCCTGTAGGCCTCAGTCCCCTCACCTGCCAAGTGGGGACAGCGGAAGCACCTACGCCTGAGGCTGATGTAAGTGCCTGCCACGGAGCCGGGCCCCAGAACCACGAGCTGCCGCTGTCGCAGTGCTAGTACCCGCTACTCTCACTCGCCCACTGGCCCCGTCCTCCCGGAGTTCAAGGACATTCACTAAGTCAAGGTCGAGAGGGAGGACACAGGCTCAACCTGGGCTGGAGAGGCTACTCACGTCTGGAATGAAGGGAGGGTCCAACATCCCGGCTTCTAAGCGCTTGAAATTCATGTTCCTGAAGAAGGGGTGTCTCTTGACCTCCGCAGCCCCCTCCTCCCGGCAGCCCAGTCTCTGCTTTGAATCTTTGGTGAGCAGCTGTGACAAGAGAGCCCCGAGAGGTCACGCCTGGTGGGCCTTTCCTCCTGCTGAAGGCCACAGGGGACTTGGGGCTTCGGGCACTGTGGCCATGTCCTTTCACAGGTCTGTGTCCCTCCTCCAGCCTCTGCGGTGCCCGTGCCACCCCCAGGCACCCAACGGACACGGCCCCAGCCTGCTCGGGCCTTGCCTCAGGGTGGCCTTGCGCTCGCGCTGGTTTTAGATGCCTGGAGCCTGCAGGAGAGGAGTCCCGTCTGCCCTCCCCGAGGCGGCACGCCCAGCGCGGGCGGCACCTTGCTACGTCTCCTGCTACACGTAAGCCACAGAGGGCTGGCACCGTCTCTGCGGGCCTCGCTCATTCGTTTACTCAACTCCTACGTACACTGTAGACAAACCACTGTGCCGAGAGGGAGGAGGGGCACCGAGGGGCCTCCGCAAGATCACATTCGGGGGACCCATCCAGGCAATGCACAGGTACGACACCACGGTGACAGAGGCACACAACCGGGCGCCAGCTGGGGGGGGCCGCGGGCAGGCGGGGAAGGCATCGGCGGAGGGTCTGCGCTAGCAAGAGGGACCTGCGGGGCAGCCTTGGGGAACACCTGTCCTTGAGTCTGGGGGACGATTGAGGATGTGAGGGACGGGTCAGGGTGAAGGGGACGTGCTAGAGGGTCTTGAAGGCCAGGTCAGGAGGATTTTGATCTGGAGGTAGTGGGGAGCCACAGATGGTCAGGGTAGAGGAGTGTCCTCATCAGAACCAAGAGGTGGGAAGGTTCACAGGAGACGAGGAGGCTGCAGAAGCAGACAGCCAGGCCAGAGGCCTAAAGGTGGGAATGAGGCCGGGAGGCTGGCAGGAGGGTGTGGGGGAGGTGGTCGGGGGGGGGGGCTGGGAGGGGGCAGGGAGGGGGCTGAGAGAGGGGCAGGGAGGGGCAGGCTGTGATGCTAGAGGACCGGCAGCTGACCACCAGGTGTCAGCCCCTCTCCTGCAGTCTCTCCTACTTCTCTCTTCCCCTGCCCCGCTGAGCACTGCACCTGGCATGCTGTTGGAATCTCCTGCTTGCTTTGAGACTAAAATCAAGGTGGATGGCCTGCAGCCCAGAGGGAGTCCAGCCCTTTCCTCCTCCGATACCCTGGCACCCTCCGTGTGCTTTCCTTCCACAGGTAGTTGCCGCCGGCCGTGTGGGCTGGGGTTGCGGTGGACAGCCAGTGGGCAGGCAGGCCTCCTGGGGCTCACGGTCTGTAGGGGGAGGCTTGCAGGCACCACTCCCCTGCCCCCCATTTCCCTTCAAACAAAGGAATCAAAGGTGGTACCAGGGCAAGCACTAGGTCACAGCCTGGAAAGGACTGAGCCCTGAGAATCGCCATCAACTGTGGTCCAGTGACCACCCAGGCTGGTTCTGCCCAGCGAGCTGGTGGCTCGGGGCCTCAGCTTCTCCTCGCTAGCGCTTCTGCCTTTCCACAGAGGCTCCAGGAATCGGCTCTGCTGGGCCAGGCTCCTCCCCACTCTGAGAAATCCCAAAGAGGCAAGGCTCCTTGGGTAGAGGCTGGACCTCCCAGCTGTAGACCCCAGAGCCTGCAGGGGCCGGCCAGACAGAAGACACAAGCAAGGACAATAAAGGCCGAGTGGGCTGGGTGGTCTGTGCCAGGCTACCCATCAGTTCCTACCAGGGCCCAGGGCTGAAAATCCAGGTTTTTATGTGAAATCTCTCCAACTTGAAATCTTGGCAATGAACCCACCCTTCACCTCTTTCTGAAACACCATGCAGGCTGAACATCCACCAACACGCTGCCTGTTTGCAACTCTGACATCGAGTGTACACCGGGAGAAGCAAGGGGGAGAAGTGGTGTGAGCTGGGCAAGTGGCGCAGGCAGGGTGGGCTTCCTGGAAGAGAAGGGATGGGCTGGAAGGCCGGTGAGGCTGAGGTGGCTGAAGGGCCAGTGCTGGGACTCAGCAGGGCCCTACAGGAGGTGGGGCTGAGGCCTGGGCCTAGGGACTGGACCAGGGGCCAAGGCAGTGACGTGCATGAATTTCTGGACATCAGGGGCAGTGGAGAGGGTCTTGTGGTTGCCAAGATGGAATGGAGGAAGGAACTGGCAACAGGGAGTAGTCTTCTTGGGCAGGCAGGGCTTGAGTTTCCGGAGTCTAGAAACAGCCCAGTGTGCCCCGAGCCTTCATGGTTTCCTCAGAGTCAGGCCCTGCTGTGTCCTGAGCTGGTGCCTCTTGGAGGGGACAGGGCCTGGCTGCCAGACAGGCTGGGGTGAGGGGTGCCAGGAAGCCCCAAGGCTAGAATCCTAAGACCCCATGATCACTTGTAAGAAGATGAAGCAAGGCCAGAAGGCTTTGTCAGTTCTTCCAGCAGAGAAAGATGAGGGGACACTGGTTTGACACTTGACACCCAATGGGCCAATGTGGGTCCAGAGCCCCAGGCTCAGCTCGCCGCCTTTCCCTTGGTGGCCACCAGGGGGCAGCAGAGGGCCAGTAGGGCCCCCAGTCCTAGAGCCCCAAAGCGGGGCACCAAGGAGGGCGACAGCGGGCAGGGAGGGGGCCCTCTCCACCTCTCTGTCCCCTCTGCATGTCCCATGTCCTGCCGGGGCTGCTCTGCTTCTCTGAGTCCCCGACCCTGACCTGGGACGTCTGGAGATGCTCTGACCATGGCTGATGACCTAGCTTGGTCCCACGGGATAGACCCCGGGTCCATGGTCGTGTGGTTTGGGTGGGTGTTTGCATGTGTACACGCCATCCCTCCTTCAGGGTCTCCCACACACGTAGAGGGAGATCTATGGTTCCTCTTTTCTGGAAGTGGTCAAATGGTAGCTCTTGCCCCAAATCCTTCTTCCCATGGCTCTGTGACACCAGACCAAAGCGGGTGGGAGGAAGTGGTCAGGCAGCAGCTGGACGGCTCCAGGAGAGGGGCCTCCTCAGGGTGGGCAGCTACACCACATGGTTTCCGGGCCACTAACAGGGCAGCCTCGGCTTTTCTGGAAGCAGAAGCTTTGCCACTTTAATCAGCTCCTTGGGCCTGCGCTTCTCTACACTCCAGCCTCGTGGTTTATGCACATGCACAGGTGGCAGGGAGGGAAGCCTCCAGCCTCAGCCCCGCTCATCAGCTGTGCCCCAGGGACAGGGAGTCTGTGGGCTCCCGGGGCCCCGGCGCTCAGGCCCTCCTGCCCCCTCGTGGCCGACACTGGAGGGCAGCGGCCGGTGGTGGGGGTACACAGCACAGCTGGGCCTGGCACCAGAGGGAGGAGGGCCCCAAGCGGACGCAGGCAGAACTTGGCAGCCTGAGAGCCAGGCGAGAATGGGATCTGCCCGCCTATGGCCAGGGGTGGGCCTACCTGGGCTGAGGGGAAGGGCAGCGGGCTGGGGCGGACTCATTCCCAGCTTCACTTTTTGATGGCTCCCATCACTGCTTCCTCCATCCAGCCTCCCAGCCCCGCAATCTGGCCCTCCCCGCCCAGCCTGTCTAAACGTCACTCCCCACCTGCGCCCTCCCCCGTGGACAATCAAATCCCAGTACTCATAGATTGCTGTCATGCGGGACCTAAGCCAGTGTGACCAGCATTCCGTGTGGCGGAAGGAAAACTCTGTTGTAAGATGTTCAAAGACTGAAAATATCACCACCCCACCACCTGCGCTGCACCTGCGGACCTTAGCCAGGGCCCAGGGACCCAGAGATTGAGGCTGCAGGGGGCCAAGGTCAAGGGCAGGGGATACCCCAAGATCCCTTTGTGTCTTGGGGAACCAGTTGGGATCACCTCCTTTCTCCTCCACGCTGATTTTCCCCCACCAAAGCTGGATGGAGGGTGTCTCACGCAGTTCCCCCTCTAAGGGGGGGCCTACCTCCTTTCCCTTGTCCTAGAGCCTCGCTGCCCCCACCTCGGGCTTTCTCCTGGAAGCCCTCGCTGACCATCCCAGTCCACAATAAGGAGCGCTCGCTCCTCTGGCTCGGGGGCTTCCTGACTCCTGCCCCTAGTGCACCCTGACCCCGCCCGCTTCAGCCCGGTTTGCTGCTCTCGGCTGGGGGCAGGCTCACCAGGAGCTCACCATTTTGCAAATGGACTTGGCCTCCTCGGAGAACTTTTGGGAGTACACCTCCTCCATCTCCAGGACCCGGCGGTCCACTTCTTCCCGCTTCACCTTCTCTTTGCGGCCCCGGAATGGTGACTGGCCCTCGATCATCTCATAGATGAGGCAGCCCAGACCCCAGTAGTCAGGGCTCAGGCCGTATCTCTGGTTGTTCAGGACCTCCGGAGCTGCGGACAGAGGAGCGGAGCCAGGAGAGGTAAGACACAGCTGGTGACGGGACAGAGCTGGGGCACAGGGGGCCAGGGCTGAGGCTCACACCGACGGAGCGTCCTGCACCCAGCAGTGATGGCGTTGCTTACGGAAGGCCTGAAGCTTCATGGTAGGGACACGCTTCCCCCTGTTGACTCCTACCCACCAACTGCCATAAACGCCACCTCCTCCAGGGCACCTGCCCTGGCTGCTCTCCTCTGTGCTCCCGAAGGGCTCGGACTGTGGCTTCAGAAGCCTGATCACAGTGGATAGAAATGTCTCTCCCACTAGAATCTGAGCTGCCTTATTCACTGCTGTGTCCCAGTAAGGAGTATGACACCTGACACAGGGTAGGTGCTACACACATATTTATTTCCAGGAATGAAGGTGTGTCCACCCAAAGTAAAGATGATTTTAAGTTTACCTGGAATTGAAACAGCCTCTCACTATGGCTTCCCTACTATTTTGATAAAATAAATTCTAGATTAACCATACAAGTGCAAAAAAGATAAGCTTCACGTCATCAGGCAGGTCACAAACATCCACACATGTGCCAGTGAGCATATAACAGAGGCCCTGCAGATGGATGTGTGCAACGCTCCATGCGAGAGGAGACAGACACAGGTGTCCACAAAGATGCGCAGATCGATCGCTCTATCATCTGTCCATCCATCCACCCACCCATCAGCATTGGCATGGGGGTACACACAGCCACATATATGTAGGTACACACCCCACAGGCTCCCAAATGACATGCAATCTGAAAAGGATCTTCTAGCAGCAGAGCAACATATAGAATCCTGGGCAAGTGTTGTTGGCACGAGCCTGGCAGAGGACAACATCCCCGGCTCCCAGAGCTTTCTGGAGCTCCCACCTCCTGGGGTGAGTGGGCATATGTGTGTGAGGTACCATGTGCAGGAGGAAGCCTGGGGATGTCCTTGACTGGAAGGGGGATTCCAGAGGACCAGACGGAGCTCCGGGTCTCTTCCCTGCAGCCCTCGGGACGATGGTCCTGGAGTAGGCGTGCGAGGTGAGGGGTTGGTGGCAGGGCAGGGAGCCTAAGGCTGGACTCTACTTAGCATCTTGCTTGGTGACACAGCTGGTGGTGCACTCCTTTCTGGGCCTTTCCAAGCGACCTCCTTCCTCTCAGGGGCCTCTCTGAAAGGCTGCCTGCCAACTCACCAGCCCCCTACCTTCAGATCAGCCTCCCCTGAGCAGCGCGGTGTCCCAGCACTGACCTCTGACGCGGAGAGTGGCTTGGCTTTGGGGCGCAGCTGGGGCCGGGGTGGGGGGTTCAGAGCGCTCAGTTTAAGCAATCTGAACCCTGGGCCCCAACACCCCCTCCCACCCTGGCTAAGACCTCCCAACTGCCCACTGTGGCTCTACTGCTGGTCAGAGTGGCACCAAGAGGCCAGCGGCCCAAGAGGTGGGCTTGGGGAGGGGCCACACCCACACTCACCCATGTAGCCGACGGTGCCCACCCGGCCGCGGATCAGGTCTCCCTCGGGGATCTTCACGGCCAGACCCAGGTCCGAGATCCGAATGTGGCCTGAGTGGGGAGAGCAGAGTCAGCAGGTCCCCAGGACAGTCATGTGGATGTGTGCCCCACCCCGGGCAGGGCCACAGACCTGTCGTGTGCCCCTGGGCAAGGCACATAGACTCTCACGTTTTTATTTGTCCACGAGGAGGGGCATCATCATCAGCCCCCTCGGAGTGACTGCAGACCCTTGGGAGAGTCCAGGTGTCAGAGGACGTGGGTCAATCATACTTTTCAGGAAGAAAACAAAAAGATAGGAAAGGATGCCTGGATTTGGCTGGACAATGGCCAACCTACCTCGTAAAATGCTCTCATGGGCTTTTTGGAAGGCTGAGGTCACCAAGTTTAAAACGCCTTGGCCTGATTCTGGGATTGCTCCACGGGAAAAATGAGAGCTTCTCCTGAAATTTTACAATTTGCTTAAGGGGAAAAATTACAAAGCAACTTGGGAAGCACCTCTCTGTCCTGCCTTGTTGATCTTTGGAGGTTCTTTGCGTTCTCCCTTTGGAGAAACAGAGTGAAGTCGTCCAGGCCTTGGGGAGACTGAGAGATGGAACTGAGTCTGGGACCGACCCCCAGAGGCCAAGACGACACAGTGCAGACAGGTCTGTCTCACTGTTGTCCTGTTCGGCGGCCCACCCGGGCTGGGTCACGGCCACATCTGCCCCCTCTCCCTTGTCAGTGCCCGCCACGGCCCCACAGCCTGGCCCCCGGCGAGGCCCGACGTCAGGAACCCCCCCAGGCCAGAGCTGTGTGGATTCCCTGCTCGGCAGCCGCTGATAAAAGTGGGCAGAAGAGGACACGCAGGTTCCAGCCGTCGGGCTGCAGACCAGTGGTGGGCACGGTTCTGAGACCAGCAGGGAACAAGAACCCCCGTGGGCACTGGGCTCATCCAAGAGGGGAGGCAGGCCCGGGACACTCTGCCCACTCTTCCACATGGTAGCACAACACTCAAACCTCCCTCCAAGTCACCAAAGACCTGCCTCTCGTTCTCCCTCCCCTCTGCCTGGGGCATGCTGGGGGGACCCCTGGTTTCTGGTCTCAGCTCCCCACTGATATTGTTGGGTGATCTTGGCAGGTTGGCTCCTCTGAGCCTCAATCTTGTCATCTGTCAAATGGGCAAAGGGATGCTGGCCCTGCCCCCTCTGCAGAGATGGGAAGATCTAGTCAGATAACGGGTGTGAACACCATTTCTGGGCCGTGCAAGGCTAAACAGTTGTGAGGCGTTACTGAGGCCGCTCGTTACGTGTGTGTGTGTGTGTGTGTACGTGCGCGCACACACACGCGCACACACAAGAAAACAGCAGTGATAATGCACAAATAATGCTCTAGAATACATCTAGAGCTGGCCGTAGCCGATCACACTATCTTGTTGGAACCTTACCACCGCGCCCCCGCCCCCCTGATGTGGGCAGAGCAGGGCCCACTGTTTCCGTTTCACAAGGAAGGAAGATGGGGTGCAGGGAGGTTGTGTAGGAGTTAATTAAGTACTGCCCAGGATCTCTGAAATTCCAGACTCCTCAATCAGTGCTCTCTCTGTTTTTCTCTTTTGGCCAAGCCACGCTACTTTTGCACCACGTAGGAGCTTTATCCATGCCCACTGCCTTCCCCAGGTACCCAGGATTGGGGGGAAGGGGTAAGTGCTCCTCCTACTCGCCCGCTGCCCTCCCACGGTCCCAGGGCCATGCCTCCGAAAGGCTCTGCCAGACGGTCCACTGCTCCCTTTGGGTTGTGACGCTCATCTTGGCTACACAGCAGGAAAGGGGTCTCCCAGGCTGCTCCCCAACTTACCATAATCATCTAGCAGGATATTTTCGGGTTTCAAATCTCTGAAAGGGAAAGATGGCAAGCATGTGAGTGTGGGCATTCTGAGCATCAGGGCATGGCGTCTCGGTTGACCTCTCTTCGCGTCTCCTTCCCACCTCTTGGCTCATGTTGCCTGGTCTCTCTCTCGATCCAGACAATCTTGGACTAATTTCCCTCCTCCCGGTATTTAGAACAAATGCCACTGTTGCCAGGATCTTCCCGACCCTGGAGATGACAGGGAAGGGGTCAGGCAAAGGCCAGCCCTGGCTCTCATCCGCACACTGACGGTACCAGGGCGGAGCATGCTTCTGGCTGGTGTGGTGAGAGACCCCTCCAGGGCTGGGAACAGCTGGAGGTCTCAGGATGCCCTGGGATGCCCGGAAGGCAGAGCGGGGCCTGGGAATTAGCGAAGAGAAGTTACTGAGGACACCGCACCCGCTGTAGAGCTGGGACAGAGAATGGTCGAGGAGGGACCCCCTTTGGGCAGGGGACCCCTGGAGCCTGGCACATCTCCCAGTCCAGGAGTGACAAGCAAGGGCGCGCCCCTGTCCGTCTGTCCTTCCTGTCTCTCCTCTTTGATTACATCATCCCTGTTCATAAGAACGTGCCCCCCTCCCCTGCTGGGGGAGGGAGGCGGCAGAAGTGTCTGGTTTTACAAGTAGCAGGTCCTCTCTGGGTAAAAGAACAGCCAATAGGATAGCGTGTGCAACTCAGTTAAGCCATCAGCATCTGGCTTGAGGATGCGATTCTCAACCAACTGGCTTTGCTTATTTAACTGATGGCAGCTGACCTCATGAGGAATGGTTACTGTGTTCAAATTCAGTGGGGCAGCCTCACAAGGTGATAATGGGTTTGTACATAGTTATTTATTACAAAACACTTTGCCACTGTTATTTAATTGGCATTCTGTTGATGTGTTAACAATTCCAAGTAAGGGCAAGATCCATCACCTCAGCAAGCCAGCAGCCACAGGGTTGGAAAGATAGCTGGCTGGCAGGCACGGGCCAGAACCCAAACCCACAGAGAGGCCATGGCAAGTGGTGGAGGCCAGGGAGGCGCTGTGGTTCTCTTCTTCACGAGAATAAGGGCTTAGAACTTGGAGGCCCCGCTTTCTTTTTGTTTTGAGTGAAAAGCAATCAAGTGAAGAGTTCTTTTTTCAACGCTTAGGGAATTTTTTCTCTTCTCACTTGAACGAAAACAGAACAAAAGCCTAAATGGGGAGACAGGGGCAGGAGGAGAAGAGCAAGTCATCAAGACCATTCCTTCTTGTTTTCAAAACCTTCTCGGACTCCCCAAGATCATCTCTGCCAAGAGCTCCATGGCAAAGGTCTTCGTGCTGGGGTGTGCGGGCCCGCTGGGTCTGTGGGCACCGTCTAGGGGGCTCCTGTGTGCTGCCGGTTTCAAGAATACCGAAAGAAGAAAATTCAAGAATCTTCTGCCTTTTAAACCCTCAACACAAGAAAGCCCGTCCCTGCGTTCTCTGGGGTCTCCCCTCCCACGTGCCCTTTCCCGGTGGCACAGATTCCAAGTGACAGAAGAGAAGCAGGTTCCTTCAGGCTCCAGTAACTGTGGTGCCCTGCTCCGCGGTGCAAAATCCCCTAGGATCCCAATTAGAAGAGGGTTCTACTAATAATCATTACAACGGCAACTCAACAGAAGTTATTTTAACTCTTAAAGCCTGTGGTTAAAGGAAATTTTTAAAAAATCTTATATATATCCATCTACTGCAGAGCTGCATGATGATCAATGACAGACTTTTAGGCAAAAAAAAAAAAACAACAACAACAGGTGACATTATGATAACATTCTGTGGGGGTGGAGAAGAGGATGACAGAGAATCCCTCACCTTTAAAGAACTTTCATGCAGTTTTAAAATGGATAATGGTGGAAATCACTTTGCCACAGCAATCAGATTCTACTGGATACCTTTAAAAATGTGATGTAACTGTTCAGTTTCAAAATATTAGCCACTATTTGTTTTTAAAGATTTTATTTATTTGAGAGAGAGAATGAGATAGAGAGAGAGAGAGAGCACGAGAGGGGTTAGGGTCCGAGGGAGAAGCAGGCTCCCCGCCGAGCAGGGAGCCCGATGCGGGACTCGATCCCGGGACTCCAGGATCATGACCTGAGCCGAAGGCAGTCGCTTAACCAACTGAGCCACCCAGGCGCCCCCTATTAGCCACTATTTTAACAGATGGTGAACTATCTCAGATGTTTTTGTGATGTCTAAGGGCACACAGATTCTCAGATTTCCTTGAGAGGGGCAGTGAGAAAAGTCTGAAGACCACTACTTGCGGAATCCATCAAGTCGGATGGAGAAGGATGGACTGAGGTCCGTTCCGCTGCCTGCTTCTCGCTGCTGATCCTACTAAGGTCTTTCTGAGGCAGGCTCACTGAGCTTCCTGCACCCTGGGCCGGAAGGGACCCGGAGCTTGGCCCGTCCCCACCAATTCTGAGGGAACATCACCTCCTATACTTGGCTCCCAAGTGGTCCAGGGCAGGAGTCCCAGGGTCGGGGTGCCCGCTTGGCCGAGGATGTGGCAGGCCAGCCCCCCACTCAGTCTCTGGCGGCAGGATCGGACAGCAAGTCTGCTCACCTGTACACGGTGTTCTCCCGGTGGAGGTCTTCTAAGCCACAGAGGATCTCTGCCGCGTAAAACAAGGCTCGCTCCTCCTCAAAGCCAGGGTTACCCATGTTGTAAATGTGGAACTTCAGGTCACCCCCATTCATGATGGTCAGAACCAAGCACAGCGCATCCTTGGTCTCGTAGGCATAGGCCAGGTTGACCTGGGAGCACAAGACAGCACCATGGTGAAGTTCCAGTGACTGCCACCCACTTCCACTCATCCTCCTTAGGGTCCTTGGAGCTGGGGGGGGGGGCTGGAATGGGGTCCTCAGCAGCTTCATGTCACTGCCCAGCACCCCGACAGCCTCATGGCACCCCTGCCCACTGCCCCCCCCGTCGTGGCTGACGAAGGACACACCTTCCGATATCATGGTTCCAGGTGAGGAGGCAAAGTGGGGAGGCCAGGCCGGTACTCTGCCCTTTTAGGAAGCCTGACAAGATGGTGCATGTGTGTTTGCACAGGCAAAAAAGCCTGCGCGTGCTTTGTTTGGTGAAGTCTGTGGGTTGCCTTGTTGGCCAGTCAAGAAAAGAAGAGCCCAGATGCCTTTTGGGCTGGGGTCTCCTTACCGCAGGGATGTTGGGAGTGGGCTGGGGAGGCGGCCAGTGGGACTCTGTGAAGGGGAACACAGTCTGGCGAAGTCCGCCCCCTCTCGCATGCAGGCCACGTCTGGGCGAAGGGCCCAGTAACAGGGAGGACCTAGTTCCTCGCTGGTGGAGATCAGCTGCCCAAGGATGGATGGCGGCCACAGGGTTGTGGGAGAGGCAACAGGACTGGGTCTGAGGCAAAGCCCACTGGGTGGTACTCGTCCTTCTCCACTAGGGAGCCAGTCCAAATGAAATCTGGCCACCATGGACCAGGCTGGGCACAGGCTGGGCCATACACCTTGGACGCAAAGCCCAGGAACGATGGGAGTTATTTCTGAGGAAAGGAAACAGAACGGGAGCTGAGCGGGAGGGCTCTGGGGCCGGTGCTCAGTGCCAGGGGCCAGGCTGGCCCTCCCTCCCACACCTGCCCACAGTCACCAGGGAGGGGCTCCTGGAGGGCGCTGGGCCAACTCCCTGCCAGGGGCAGTGGGTGGGGCACAGTCGAGGGTGGTCCAGGCCCTCGAAGACGTGCCACCCCATTTACCAGGCACACCACCCTTCCCCCCCCCCCGCCGCCGAGTAGCACCCACCATCACCGAGCCCGACAAGAGCCAGGGTGCCCCTTCCTTTACTGATGAGGGTTCCACGGGCAGCACGGAGGCAGTGACCTGTGGTCCCCACTGAAGGGGGCTGGCAGCTGGGGGCAGCCTGAGAGGAGACCCAGAGGTGCACACTCCTGTCCCCTTTGAGTGTCACCTTATAAAACCACGCCCTCTGGGGAATGACGAAAGCACTAGGCTGATGGCATCTCTGGCACTCACACCCAGCTGGTGGGCGTTTGACTGGCACCACCTCGATGGAGAGCCATTTGGGAACTGCTACCAAATGGAAAACGCACACACCCTCTGACCACCAGGAATCCATCCTACGGACACACTCACGGACATGCGCCAAAGAGATGTACAAGGGTGGATACGGCAGTGGCTTAAACACCAGAACTGATCCGCAGTGGTGGGGACTGGCTGCACAGATGATGGGTAATCTCCGTACTGGACAGCAGGGAGGGAGGTGCACAGTGTAAAAAAAAGAGCTACAGCTGTAGGTCTGGCCACAGGAAAAGACCTACAATTTAAGGGGAAACTGCAGCTTAAGACGTCTGGTGGGACTCCACTGGCTAAAAATATTAAAGCCTCTGCATGAATCCACCATGTTAGAATGGCTACCCGAAGAGGGAGGCTTTTATTTGTATTTCACACCTCTCTGTGCTGTAGGAGTTTCACCCTGTACATGTTTTTTTATAGTGACATGTGGCAGAGGGATCAAGAGCTGACCAAACACCCACATGCTCTTCCACATTTCCCTGCAGCTGGCTCGGCCCTTGCAGTGACTAGTTCTGGCCCGCGGGCTGTGGGCGGTGTGAGGCACGTCCCTGCGGCCGAGGCAGTGAGGGTCCCTGGGCAAATCCCCCAGCACACACTTTTAAGACTCTAGGTGGGGCAGCTGTAAGATGGAGGAGGGTGGCTGGATCTGGCTGGACTCTGTGTACGTGACAACGGTCTTTGTTGTGTCCAGCTACTTCGGGTTGGGGGGTAGTTCGTTACCACAGCCAAGCCTGGCCGAGACATGGTAACACGACGAACATAAACAAGATGGCACCTCTCCAGGATATTGACACTCAGGTCTCCCCCATGATGAAACCAGCCTGCCGGGGGGGGGGGGGTGTCTGTGGAAACAAAGCTCCTTGGCTGGGCCCAGGATGGGCTGCTTTTTCCACTGAGGAGTTTACAAGGTGGTTCTAGAGGACAGAGGCCTTGGTCCCACACACAGAGGGGAGCCAGGTCAGTTCGAGTGACCGGAGCAAGTCAGCCATGATTGGCCACGTGGAGCCTTGTGATGGAGGGAAGGCCTGGTCGCCTTTCTGCTGCTTAATCCTCCCACTGCATTCCACTTCCCTGGGGGATGGGGACCTGCCACACTGGAGGACCCCCCCCTTCCCAAGGACAGAAGCCCTGGTCACTAGATGGGTGGCCTGGCGCTGGGCCCTGGACACTCACCACAAACTGGCTGTTGACCTTCTCCAGGATCTGCTTCTCGTTAAGCGCCATGGACTCCCCTTTCCTCTTTTTGATTCTCTTCTTCTCCAAGCGCTTGCAGGCATACATTTTACCCGTGGCCCGAACCTGGCAGGCGCAGACCTGAGGTGCAAGAGAGAAGCCAAGGGTATGGGACAGGTGAAGGCCTGGCCTGAGGGTGCTCCCAGTCACGGGACCCAAGGATGCCTGGCCTTGGACCCACTGCCGCCCCAGGCCCTGCCCTAAAGAGCTGGCTTCCGTGCCCCTTGCTTCCCTCCTTCTATCCTTAGGTGAATCCTAGCTTTTCAAGGTGCACGACCAACCATTTACACTGGTGTTTACATGACCGGCCAAAGCCTCAAGTGCTGCTCCTCTCTCAGAGGCAACTAGAGTTTCTCCATCCCAAGCTTCCACCAGATGCAGCCATTGCTAACTGGGGACTTCAAAGCACCAGCTGCTGGTAAGGGAGGCTTGTTTTGGTGTCAGACCCCTGACAACCCTGACTTTATAACTCAGTGCAACAGGAGCCAAGGCATTGGGGTTCTCATCTTCTTGGTTCCACCCCTTTTTGATTGCGTGACCTTGGCTGGGTCATCAACCATTCTGACCCTCAGTTTTCCTCATCTCTAGAATGGGAATAACAAGGCCTGCCTCACAGACTGAGAAGATGCCTCATCTGGCCAAGATGCTTGGGCCCCTCACGCTCTCACCCCTCCCTCCAAAGACAGCCCACAACGCCCATGTCTCCTCTCCAGACACAAACCCTGAGGCGGGCTCCAAGAGCACTTCCATCCCACCGGCCCTGCAGACGGCCTCCTTTCCCATCTCAGCGGCACCTCCTGTTCCTGGGCCCCATGCCTCACGCTCCCTCCCCGCCAGGGGGAGCGGGATGCCGTAGGCGCATTCAGGAGGGACAGCAACAGTGACAGAGTAGGGGAACTTCCCACTGAAGATGCGGATGTTTACTCACCTCCCCAAAGCCCCCTTTTCCTAGTACTCGGTACTGCCTGAAAGTGTTTTTGGTGACCGGTTGCCTGGAAAAAAGCAAGAATCCAACATTGGTCTCAAGGTGTTGAGATGCAGAAGCCACAAGAAACAGACGACAGTGGCACTGCATGCCTTCCAAACCGCCAGGAATCATCACTGCGGATGGGTCCCTCAAGCACTTGCTCTGGGGCTGGGTGTTCAAATCCCAGGCCACCCGCCCTCGGCCCCGTGTGGCTTGGGACCCGAGCAGTCCTCGCTCGCTCGCTCGCTTGCTTGGAGGGAAGAGCAGATGTGTGAAGAAGCTGCTTCACCACACTTTCCGTGTGGTTCCCCTCTCTCTTCCCAGTGAAAATCAGGTGGCTAAGCTCAGAAGGCAGCAGTGTCCTCTGCAGGGAGAAGGGAGGGGGCCAGGAGCCGCACAGGTTCGGTGTCCCAGGGAGGACACAACAGCCCTCCCCACACCTGCACATCTGGTCTGCCCGCCCACCTCCTGTCCCCAGGGAGAAAGGCTGTTGGTCATCCTTTACTGCAGGCCCCCAGTCCTTCCACCACCGAGGGCCCCTTTATCACATTTCCCCCGCAGCTCCGCAGCACCAGAAGATCTTGTCTGCCCAAAGCAGTATTTATGAAGTAATCATTGCTTTGTATCTCCCAACCCCCATTTTAATTAGCTAAGGCCATTTAAGTCTAATCAGATGGACCCTCTGATCATGAGGCAAGGGTGGGACCTCACAGAGTAAATAAACAAACGGTCATCTAAAATTGCCTCAAAGAACGCCAGCGTGCAGACAGCCTGGGCTTTTTCATCACGGGCCTGTTTGGCTAAAAATAATCAGCTGCCCCCAGCCCCAGCTTTTGTGAGGTGTAACTGACAAATAGTATCCAACTTGATGCTTTGACACATGCACACGTTGTGAAAGGATCACCACCATCAAGCTAAGTTTCTGTCACCTCCCATGGTTACCATTTGCCCTCTCCCTCTCTCTCGCTGGTCAGAACACTTAAGATCCGCCCTCTTGGCCAACTTCAAGCATACAATACAGTACCGTGAACTAGAGTCACAGCACTGTACGTCAGCTCTCCAGAGCTTATTCATCCCACAGAACTAACCCAAACCTTACATCCCTTGACCTACATTCCCCATGACCTCTACCCCCGCCCCCTGCCCCAGCACCTGGCAGCCACCATCCACTCTCTGTTTCTATGACTGGGACATTATTTTAGATTCCACATCTAGGTGAGATCATGCAGGATCTGTGTCTGGCTTATTCCACTTAGCGTTAACATCCTCCAGATTCCTCCATGTTATCACAAATGGCAGGATTTCCTTCTTTTTTAAGGCTGAATAATATTCCGTTGTATGTATCTACCCCGTTTTCCCTCCCACGCTGACCGCAGCATTATTCACAAGGGCTAAGAGATGCAAACAACCTAAGTGTCCTTGGACCACGACTGGATAAAGAACAATCTGCTTTTAGGATGTCCAACTTAGCTCCTGGACCCTCCAGGACTATTCCTGAGCATCCCCCAACCCCAGCGCAGAGGCCGGACCAGGGCACACACTAGAGTGGGACTGGGCTGGCCCACATAATTGGGTCAGCTTGAGAAAGACCACTGAGCCTCCGGCCACTCAGCAGCTCCTGAATGAACCCTCTGTTGCAACCTTGCTTGCTGATGGGTCCTGAAGGTCCTCGGCACCACACCTCTCACAGGACAGCCCTGAACCCCCCGCCCCCCACCAGTACGCCTGTCTGGAGTCCACGTGCCCTGACTCACGCTCTCTTCTGTTTCTTTGTGGCGGGGGGAGCGGCACACTGATTATCTCCCTGCTGGGAGCACAGGGCCGCCCCTCCGCAGACTCTCCATGGCTCTGTGTCCCCCTGCACACGAGCGGCTGGGCTGCAGTGAGGCCTGCCATGCGGCTGCATCCGCCATGCGGCGCTGGGAAGCGTTTCTACAGCTGCCCTCGAAACCACATGAAGGCGCCCGGGCCTAACAGTTTACGATACATGGAGAACAAACAGTCGGTCGGCATTACCACAGAGCTCCTTTGCTAGGGGAAATGAGTGTAATACAGTCTCCGAGGAATTTCTCGGTTAACCTTGGGAGGGAGAAAATCCCTTCAATATTTCAACAGTACAGCATGAACAGGCCATGATTTTGTTAGCAAAAAAAAAAAAAAAAAAAAAAGAAAGAAAAGAAAAAGAAAAAGGAAAGGGATGAAGCAGGGTGCTGTCAGTCATTTAGGGGCATTTCTAGGCCAGGGTCCTGCCCTAGTGCCTTCAACAACTTAATGCCCACAAAAGGGCCTAACTTCTTCGCAGTCAACACAGATTTTAAAGTCTGTTTCTCCATATCAAGTGTTCAGTACAGACAAGTAAAATCAAAGGCAGTGGCCACAGCTAAAGGATTCTATTGAACAGAGTGCTGGGTGGAATAAGGGTGAAGGACTTGACCGCAGAGCCTTGGGTTCAGGTTCCAGCCTTGCCAGGCCCTTGCTGCATGACCCAGGGCCAATCGATCAACCTCTCTGAGCCTTGTATCTTCAGTAAAACAACAATGAAAAGGCATCTGCGTCCCAAGGCTCTTTGTAAGCTGCTGTGTGTCAGATGTCATTATTAGAACTCCAGGAATAGGGGCACCTGGGGTGGCTCAGTTGGTTAAGTGTCTCCCTTCAGCTCAGGTCACGGCCCCAGGGTCCTGGGATCGAGCCCTGCATTGGGATCCCTGCTCCGTGGGGAGCCTGCTTCTCCCTCTTCCGCTCCCCCTGCTTGTACATGCTTGCGTGCTCTGTCAAAAAAATAAAATCTTAAAAAAAAAAAAACTCTAGGAACAAAGGACACATCCCCTCTGGGGGTCTTTATGGTAACAGTCCCCACTGGGTGAAGCACCTTGCACAGGCACTAATGCAATCCTCACTCTTGCCTCAGGAGGTGGCAAAGTCCTCACTGTGCAGGTGAGAATGTTTAGGCCCTGAGAGGGGAAACGAGCTGCCCGAGGTCATGATGGTAAGTGGTGGCTTTGGGGCTGGATCCCCAGGCAGCCTGCTGCAGAGCCCACATCCAGGGACTCAACCCCACGCTGCCACCCCGAGAAGGTGGGCAGAGACTGGGCTGTGTCGCACACAGCCCTGGGCTCTGGGGGTGACGAATACGTCCCCGCCGCACTGTCCTGCGATCATCAGAAACACAAGGGCCAGTGGTTCCCTCCCATACCAGACGCTTGAGGGGGACAGCACAACAACTGTATCCAGCACCTGACTTCCCGGGGCCAAACGGCTGACCTTTCCTGAGCTCTTGCCTAATAGGCATGTACTACGCTTACCTCAGCTCGTCCACACCCGTGCCTACAAAGGCAGGCACTATTATCATCCCTAACTCACAGATAAGAAAACTGAGGTGGGGAGGGGTGAGCAGCCCTTGCCAAGGTCCTTGGGGAGAAGGTAGAGCCGGGACTCAGACCCAGGCTGTGGCCTCCAGGGCCCTCAGCCAGATGTCCGCGCTGACCCCCACTTCCCTGGGTCTCCCGGAGCCACGATGTGCACGTGTGAGGGGCCCACAGAGGAGACTGCCCCCTGCTTGACTGTCATTCCCCCCCGGTGGTACAGAGCTGGGTGTTTCCTTCGGGGCTTCCTGGAGTGGGCAGGGCAGGGTCGTGGATGGGGCTTTTCGGGCATCCCTAAGCGTCCGCAGGGCACTCGCCAGCGAAGGTGGGGACAGGCAGCAGCAGGATGGCTCCTGGCTCTCTGCCCAGAGGGTGCCCAGATTCCCGTGAGGGCCAGGCCTCAGGCACAGGGACCCCTGGGCTGCGGAACGGGGTGCTCCCCGCCCTTGTCTACCAGCAGAGCCCAGCACGGATTTAACGCAGGCATTGCCTTGTTCTGCCAATTCTGGGACAGTGTGGGGGGCAGAGCCCTGTGCTGGGGGTCAGGGGCTGGGGCCCCCCCCTCGGCTGCACTGCTGGCCTGCTGTGTGACCGGGCCACACCCTCTCGGGGGCTCTCCTTCCTCGTCAGTCACACAGAGGCTGTAGCTGCCAGGCCGAGTCACCACCACATCTGTGAGAACACTTTGCGGAGAGAAGGCAGGAAACAAAACAGGCAAAGATGCTCAGTTTTACCCATTATTAGAAATGACAAGATACACAAGAAGGAAAACCCTGCTGCTCACACACCGGCCAGGAAAGCACGAGAACAGTGTTGATGAGGTGGAGGGGAGGCAGGCACTGGGGCACCGGCGGGCCTGGAAATGGGGGGCAGCTGTGTGGGAGGGCAACTTAGCGGTCCCTCACGGTTTCACATTGGCACTTTCTGACCCAGAAATCCCTCTGCCAGGATGTCTATGGATGTACCTGCAAAAGTACGTGAAGATATATGTACAAAGCTACTCGTTATTTAGGGAAGATTGTACACAAAATTGAAAGCAACCTCCACGTCCATCAACAGGGGACTGAGCTAAATCAGGGATGTGCCACTCACTCAGAGAAGGTGGCAGCTCTTTATTTGCTGGCAGAGGGAGGATTCCCAAAAACAGTGAACCAAAAAAGTAAGAATAAGTATGTATGTATTTATGAGTGTGTATGTGTGCATGCACACTTTAATAAGCACAGAGCACTTCTAGAATTGCCAAGAACTTAATCAACAGGAGGATGGCTAATTTTATCTGAACCATGGACCCATGGAGGTAACTGATTTTTATGAGTTCCCAGGTGGAAAACCTGCCCCCCCGCCCCCTGCCATGCGCGCACACTGGCACACACTTGTAGGTGCACTCACCTTTCCAACCACTTCCACTGGAGAAAGCGATCAAAATACATACTGTCCAGATACTCATGGAAGGGCTCTCCCTTCAGATAGTCGTGGACAGACCTGGCTCAGAGGGAACAAACGAACATTTTATAATCCTGGCCTGAAGCAGCCGGACAGAGCCGTATACGTATCCGGCAGGTAACAACTGGCCTCAGAGGCCCATCATCCTAACAAAGTGACTGCCTGATCGTGCGGACACTTACTGGGTCCCCGCCACAGCACGGCTCTAGGCCCGGGGCAGAGCTGTGAGCTTGAGGTTGCTGTTGTGACGTGGGACAATCACCAAACAGATGCCTGCAGAAGCATGTTATCATGAGGGAGGCTTAAGCGAGGTCCCGGGGCGGGGAGGGGCTCAGGTAGCTCTCTTTCTCTCAAGAAGGGACTCTTGAGCTGCAGTGAGGACAGAGGAATAACTGGGTGCAGGGGTGTGCGTGCGGGGGTGGGCAGAGCAGGGATGCAGGGCCCAGGCTCTGGATTTGGTCCAAGACCAGTGAAGCCACTGGGAGCTTTCCATCCCCGCAGCAGAATTCACTGGTCGCCTGCTGAGGGCCAGGCCCGCAGGGTTCTGAAGCTGGCTGTAGGCAGGGATGGGCTTCTTTCCTTTAAAAAGTGGTGATGCTGCCCAATCTAGCCCAGGCACTTGGGACCTGTGGGTGGGGGGCAGGGTCGGGGGGAGCAGCATGTACAGTGGAGGCCTTGTTGGACGCTGTCTCCTGCCAAACAGGAGAGCAGGGGCCAGGGTCACAGTGACAGCCCTGGGGCCTTACCCGCTGTCAGATCTGACCCTCAGCCAGCTCCAAGAGGACAGCAACCGGGTCCGTTTCTGCTCGTGGAGGGAAGGGGCGTCTCTCTCCTCGGCTGGCCCTCCCTAAATGTCCATTCTCAACATGGGGCTCCCAGCTCGTCCCACAGTGCACAGGGGCACTGGTTTTCATGTCCTCCCCACCTGGCTGTTAAGCTCCATGAAAGCCGGGACTGGGTTCTTGCTCACCATGGCACCCCCAGCACCTATCACTGTGCCAGGCACGCGGCAGGTGCCCCGCTGTCTGTAGGGCAAAGGCTGAACGAGGGCGCACAGCAAGCCGTGGGGGGCGATCAGGCTCCGGGCAGTTTTTGGTGTGCAGCATATGGGGTAGGGTACCTGTGTGGGCACAAGCACGTGTGTGCACCTTTCCAGGATGTGTGCGAGGGACAGGTGGGGGCCTCACTGGTATCTGACCAGCAGCACACCCACCGACCTGTCTCCTATCCATTAGGATGGCCCTATGGCCCACAGACGAGGTGATGGGGTGTGGCTGAGAAGGCAGCCTCCAGCCCCCCTCCTGCAGCAGTGCCACCCGGCTCTGGCTGCTGCTGGCAGTGGGGGTTGGGGGCCTGGGAAGGACTCCCAAACCGCCCAGACGGGGTCAAGTTTTTGTACATTCCTCTGTCTCAACAGCCTGGAGAGCCACTTGCTTTCAACACCCTTGGAGGCAGATGTTTTCTTTGGACTTGGCACTTGGGTATCTTTTCCATTCCTAAGAAGTATACAAACAGCTGGGTGGCTTGGCTGGGGCCTCCGGGGCACGGCAGACCTGCCCTGGTGCCCAGCACTCCAGGTGGAGGGTAGGGGCGGCTTCTCTCCGGGGCCATGTGGCTGCTGACAGGAGGCTGAAGGGCCTGAGGCCTGGCCTGGGGAGCGAGGGAGCACTTACTGTGCACAGGCAGAAAAGAGTTCCTTGCAGGGCCTCTGTAGGAGCCTCTCCTCCGTCTGGGAGACCAGGTCCTGGCCAACTTGGGCAATGAAAACTGGGGACTGGAGGAAGAAAAGAGGACGTGTCAGTGAGGGGTGGGAGCAGGGCACCACCTCTTCCGCCCACTCCAGGCCCTGAGCCACATGCCGCGTTCAGGGGTGCGCGGAGGTGGCTATGGGCTGGCAGGCGGTGAACGAGCCCAGTGGGGGTTGGGGGCCTGGGAAGGACTCCCAAACCTCCCAAACCTGGGAGGGCCAGGTTTCTGGCTCTGCCACTTTCAGTCTGTGGGACCTCATGGAGGTCACTTGGTTCCTGTGAGCCTTGCTGCCCTCATCTGCAGCACGCTGAGAATGCGTCTGTGTCTTGGGCTTGGGGTCAGACCTGAACGAGATGTGTGTCCAGAGCTGTGCGACATGGATGGGTTGGTCGGCGAGCCCCCTGGGAGCTTGCAGGTGCCCCTTCCCAGGCTGGGCCTGTCTGCTCAGAGGGCAAGGTGAACACCTGCCCAGCCTCGAGGTCCTGTGTGAGAAGGTCTGGAATGGGCAGAAGGGCCAGCAAAACCACAGCTCAGCAGCAGAAGAGGGGTGCTCCGTGGGCACAGCTTCGCCTGACAGGAGCAAGGCCCAGACCTGCTACTTGCAGCTGTGGGAACTTGGCCGGGACTCAGCCCCCTGTTATCAGGAATAACAGTTTCTCCCAGAGAGAATCAACGAATCCTTTGGGTCAGGCATTTGGCCCAGACTGTGGTACCTGGTAGGGAGCATGCAGTAAACGTCATTACTGTCATTCCCTTCTTTTATGGGAAGCTGTGGCCTGAGTGTTTCAAGCGTGAAAGGACAGTTCTGAGAATTTCTGTTGTCCTGCCCACGAGCAGGAGCCATGGCCAGGAAGGCTCTGGGACCACCAGAAGCCTGCCCCCTTCCTCTGACTGTTCACCTTCCACCACCAGCTGGGCTGATGAGGTGGGTTTTTAACAAACTGCAGGGATATTTGAGAAAATTGCCAGGAATGGGCCCAGAAAGATGGGATGTAGATTTATCTTTCTCCCCCAAAGATGCTGAAATCTGAAAGGCCTGCTTTCTCCTTTCAGCTACTGAAATGTGACTATGGAGCTGATTTCCCTGAAAAGCCAACTGAGTGTCTTCTGCGGTGGGTGGGGGTGGGGGGGTCCAACTCCGGGGGTGGCAGGGGCACCCGTGGCAGCAGGACCCGGGTGAATGAAATTGGTGGCTCATCTTCTATTCATCGTGGTTCTGAAGGCCCACATTCCTGAGTCCCTTCCTTCTTTCTCTCCTAGGCTCTGCCCCCTCCGGATCAGGGCCCGTCGGTGGGGGGAGCGTCAGGTGTTGGGGGGCAGTCATGGTGAAGGTAAATGCTGCTGGCTCACCCAATTACGCCACACGGCAGGCTTGTTGGCCATCACCAACCATGGATGGTGGTGGCTCCCTCCCCCCCCGACCCCGTTCCTCCCCCACCACACTAAAAACCTTGATGCAGAAAAGATGCTCGATGTTGCAGAAGGAGCCCCACACCAAGAAACTGGAGCCCCAAGCACCAGTCCACCCTCTGGGGCCATTGTGTGCTTCCATCTCCTCTGTTACAGGCAGGAGCTGCTGCAGAGATGGTTGACGGTTGTGGGGGTAGGTCGCTTCTAAGACTTGGGGGACTTTCTTGGGAATTCTGGCAGCTGAAATCTCTCGGGGATCAGTAACTCTGGGCTACTTCAGAGCAATCAAATCCTAAAACAAACACGGAGGCCATGGGCAAATTTGCGCCATGAGAGCTGATGGCCAGACGACCTTGGTTTGAAGGGCCCAGTGCCCGGCACAGAGCTGGTGTCCACGGTACGTATGGGAAGGAGCGACATGAAACAAGGTGAGTGCCAGGATGTGACCTGAATCTGGGAGGAGTCAGCAAAGACCAAACAGACATGCTGGGTGGGGATGTCATGGGGAGAAACCCCTACTTCTTGGACCTCAGAAGAGGTACCTGGGTTGCCCACCTGTATGCACTCAGCTGCACCCCTGTTTTGCCATCAGACACCACCCTGGGAGGACCCACCCTTACCTGGAGTGGACTGAACCTGGCGCTGGGCATGGTGTGGGGGTGTTAAAAGGTAAAGCTAGTGTGGCCCTGACTGCAAAGCACATTTTCTCCAGCAAGACAGGAAAGACAGAAATCAGGTAATATCCTAGCAGGAAGTTCTCTCGCCTCTCTAGGCTACATGGGGTCGTGTGTAAAAGGGGCCCACTGAAACTCAGTGGCTCTCAAACTTTTTTTTTTTTTCCAGCAAACTTCTTTCTTCCTTCTCCAGTTGAACTTTATCTACAGACCCACTATTTAAAACCAATGGGTAGCTCTGGTTTGCCTCTGCTAAAGGCCAACTGTGGTCAGGCACCGTGAGAAAGACCTTACATGCATTATTTCATCTAATCTTCGTCATGGCTCCGCGAGGTAAATACTACTATAATGCTCATTTCACAGACAAGGAAATGGAGGTCCAAAAAGGTTCAGGCATTTGACACCAGGTCACCCAGCCAATAAGTGGCAGACAGGGGTTGTGAACACAGGTTGGCTGGGTGGGTCTGGAGTGAGGCTGGTTGAAGGTGGTGGGGTGTCTGGGCCACCTGTGCCACTCCCGCCCACCCCCCATCTCCCAGGAGTCCCTCAGCCCTCAGGGTGGGCAGGAAGAACCGAAACGGAAGATGACACAGCTCAGGGCAACGAGCCCCTGGGCTCAGAGAGGGAGATCATTACGGGGTGGGGTCATCTGGGAAAGGCTTCATGGAAGAGAGGGTCAGAGGCAAAGCAGAATCTGGGCTTAGAACTCCACGCCCCATGGAGGACCATACTCTGCTTCCTCCTCAGCCGACGGGAGGAGTGGCCCAGGGTCTAGGGGCAATCCAGCTGTGCACATGGAGTCCCACTGCTCTCATTCTCTGGGGTGGGTTGGCGGGAGGGCTCTGGGGATGCTGCCCATGCTCAAAGCCCTAATAGGAGTTAATGAGTGGGTAGCAGTGCGTTCGGTTTGATGACCGTGGCTTTAAACTCAGTCTCTGGCTCAACATGGAGATTAAGCAATTCCAACCAAACCCCCTTTCAAGTGACTCCAGAGAGTAACGCCTCTGCCAGTAAGGGAGTAAGAAGCTGTTGGCCAGTTTAAGTTGGGAACTGAAACCCAAACTTGCCAGGAGGGTGAGAGGAGCAGCTCCCAGGGGACATTTCCATGGGACACTTGCAATGTGCATCGACGGAATTAGAAGGTATTGGTCCTTCCCCTCCAGTTCAGTGAAGTCTGCTTCCAAGGGAGACCCATGAAGAAGGCTCACCCTAGACTGAGTGCAAGGTCTAACACATCACGTAAGACAAAGTGCCACCAGACGCTCCGAGCGCTCTGGGGTCCCAGCAATCACAGCCCGCTGCACACCATCCCCTGTGGCTTGAAGGCAGAATTCCACAGTTTCAGATCTCATTCCAGGAGGCTGATCCCTTCTGGTCCCAGGAGGCCTGTGAGGTGGGCTAGGGAAGGGAGGGGGTGTATCCTTGGGGCCAGGTGGGCTCTGGACAGGAATGTCACCTTCACCGAGAGAGGGCTCAGCAATGCCAGGAGAACTGTGGTTAGTTAGCACTGTGGCTCTTTCTAGCAGGAACCGTCCCTCTGTGGGAAGCTGAGGGTCAGGGTGGGGAGAAGGCTGGGGACCATCCTCCTCCATGTTAAAGATGTCCCCCTAATTTCTAATCAAACAGAGAAAGCTCTAAGGCCCTTAGACGTTGGCAGGGCTGAAAGCGGCCAGGAGAACAGGTCTTGCTGGAGGTCTCTGCTACAGGTTCCCCTGGGGTCTGGGACCCTGTCAGGCCAGCAATATTTTGAAGTGACACTTTATCTCTTTGGTTACCAGATGGTCTCAAGTAGCTCCAGCTAGCAGGCCTTGACTTTTAATACCACAGTGTGAATTTAGGCACCAAGTTTCTTCCGAAATGTGTGGAATTAGCTCTTGGCAGGGGCAGCTTCCGAGGACAGGAGGAAGAAATTGAGGACAGAGTTTCTCTGCTGGAGGCCCCACCATGAATGGCCTCCTGCTGCTCTTGGGCACCGAAGCTCACCAGCTGGCCAGCCTCCATGTGATCATATGCCTGGCCTGGCCTGACAGTCCACTCTGATGACAGGATGACCCCCAGCTGCTCTTAAGTTTTGCTCCGTGGCCAACTCCTGGGATAGCTTAAGACAGCACGACGTGCCTTGGGGACATGGCTATGCTTGCCGTGGGCCACTCTCTCCCCTCCAGCCAGACTGACAGAAAAGAACTCTGCTTCCTTGAGGAGCTCCAGGTGGCAGGGAGCACCTGTCTTGCCCCTGAAATCACAACTGGAGCAAGAGAATCTGCACCACGCTCCCCTCTTTGGCTAAGGCTCCTCTCCACCGTTTCCCCCCAAAGTTGCTGGGAAACAGAGGGGGCGTTAAAGCTTGGGTGTGCTTTAGTCCCTCTGAGTCTGTGCCTCTGGATAAAAGCCCCCTTCGCCCATGGGGGAAAGAACCTGCTCTACATCCCCCTTTAGAATGAGCAATTGACCTTAAATCCATCTCCTGTACCAGGGGAACTTGGGCCCTCACCTGGTAGGACAGACTCCCCCCATGCGTGTCAGGCTCTAAGTCCCCCTTGGAATCCCTAGAATATCTGTTCTTTTTTACCTCCTCCCCTGCTGGCCCAGACTCACTCTCTGCTGTTCCCGATGCTTACGGCACGGGTTTTGGGGATATAGGCAGCCCCCGCTGCCCGTGTGAACCAGAATGCACCTTTTGAGGCAGCAAGATGTGGGGATGCCTGGGTGTCTTTCTGGGTACCACAGCACAGTGAGAAGAGCTCCCCACATGCCACTTGGCACACAGGGAGGGAAGACCCCTGAGCTGGATGCAGGGGGCCAGTGCGCTTCGCACCTTCACTCTCCTGTAGGCCCCTCTCCTCCCTTTTGTCCCTCCACCGCCGTGAAGCTCTCTGGGACCTCACGCTGCCTCCACTGCCTGCCTGTGACCCTAAATTCTGATATGTGGCCTAAGCCAGAC